CTCGGCAAAGGGGCCCAGAAAAAAATACCTAAACAAAAATTAAGTCCCTTTTCTCAACAACTGTCCCCGGAGTTTTTTTAAGGATCCGTAAAAATATTTTTAAACCAAATAAAGGGATTGGGTTTAAAAACCCCAAAAGCAAAATATAATGAGAGACTTATAACCCTCGGGGTATATACATTAAAAACCCTTTGGGAGCACCCGGACATCACACACCGCTTCTTTTACTGCTATAAAAAACAGAAGGGGTTTGGTACCGCGTGTAAAGGGCCAGCAACAGCAAAAAGGGAATTTAAACCCATTAAAGCAGTAATTTTCCCCCTATTACCAAGCTGCATAAATGAAATAAGACGGATTTTTTAGTATTTAAACATTTTGATTTTTTTTGCTGCCTTGCATTTATTATTTTTTATTTTAATTTTATTATTATTATTATTATTATTATTATTGTATTCGGGGAGAAGGGCAAAATTTTTAAAAGGACATTCCCCCCACGGCAAAAAGTAAAGAGTTGAAACAGAGAAAAGAGAGAGGGGCATTTAAGATACACTATTAATTTCCAACTTAGCAAAAAGGTGATTTTTCGCTTTTTTAAACCTATATTAAATTTTTGTCAGGGAGAGGGTGCATAAGCTCTGGGGCCTTTGGAGACAACATCAAAAACCTTTGGACACTAAAAAATTCAAAACCGTAACACACACAAAACCATTATATAAAAATATATATAAAATTTTTTTTATAAAATAAAATATATATATAAAATATATAAATATAAATGAGTGTATTCCCGTGTGTGTGTGTTTTTTTATAATTACCTGATTGAAAACAAATCATGCTAAGTGAATTTTTTTTAAACATAACCTTGTCAAAATGCGTTCTTTTGGCTTTCATTTAACACCCGTTCAAAAATGTAACCCGGGGGAAATTAAACCCAACCCCAAAACCCTGAAACACGGGTAGGGAAACAACTCATTTTTGGAAGACCATCCGTATTTTTAATGCGCGAAATCGGTTTCTATGTTCTAGGGGGCCGGTAAATTTCTATTTTTTTGGGTTTACTGTTTAAAAACTAAATAATTTAGTTTTCGTGGGGTGATACAAAAGGGAAAAATTTAAGTGGAGTTTGGGGCTACTTACACTCTAAAAACAGGCACTTGAGGGCAAAAAACAGGAATTTTTTTAAACCCCACGGGGTAGTTTTCTTAAAAAACCGAAAACAGATGTTTGCGACTTGATAAAACTCACGCATGGGGGGAAACGTGCCCTAAGGCTTCATGGGAAAAAACATTTGACAGAAAACCCAAAAAGGGGAATACCGTGACTTGGGAAAATTTTACCTCCAAGGGGAGAGGACTTTGACGCGTTTCGGTGTGAATTTTTAAAGGTTTAAGCGGACCGAAATGTTTCCCAAGCTCCTCTCTTTTTCTATGTGCTGGTTTTTTTTGTAAAAATGCATTTGTGTTCGTTATGGTTTTTTATTTTTATACCATATCAAAAAAGGTGAAACTGTGAGACAGTTTTTAAAAAGGGGGGGGGAACCGGGAAGCCAGCCCGGGAAGGGGCCTCGGAATGTTTTAAAAACTCAATGGTGGGTTTAAACATCTAAGACCCCGCGTCAGAAAACTTGTCTTGTTTCCCCGACGAACTTTACCTAAACCCAACCCAACCCAACCCAAAAACCCCAAAACCCCCAAACCCAAAACCCAAACCCCAAACCCAAATTTCCTATATCCATACCATACTAAGTTACCTTCATAAATAAGCCTACGGCCTAAAACTTTGGCAAGTCCTTCACAACCCTTTCTAAAACTTCCAACCCAATACAAAAAATAATAAAATAACCCCACAGAGGAAAAAGAAAAAAAAACTTATGCGACGTTTCGGACCGACCCCAACCATGAAAATTGGGGTGACTATTAATTTAAAGGTCCAATCCCCCGAAAAGCACGAATTTTTTTCCCTTTTTTTAAATTTCCCAAGAGCGGGGAATTTGTGGATTGTTCCGCACGGGAAATTTTGCCTTTAAATTTTACAATTTAACCCCAAAAACACAAGGGACTAAAAACCATTAAATCGGGGCCCAACAGCGAAAGGGTACCCAGGGGGAGCAGACCATATTTACCAAATAACAAAGGAAAACCCAACCCCTTTGGGTTTGGGGAAACATCGGCTCCCAAGAGAGGTGGGTGGGATGCATAAAACCCCCAGATGGGAAAGGAAGATGACGTTTTGGGGGGTGTCCCCTCTTTTGCGCCACAAGTGCACTACTGCCCCCTCAAAAACGTTTACCAGCGACGGTTTGGCGGCCGGCGACTCCCCCCGGGCAGCCAACCCCCACACAGCCTTTCCCAAAAAATAAAAACAAAAAAAAAAAAAAAAAAAAAAAAACAATAATCGCCCGCCACAAAAACACTACGAGGTTCAGTTAATAGTCCTTTTGCTGATGCCCTAAAGAAATTTTAATTTGCTTTTTTTTGTTGTCGTGAGGTAAACAAAAAATGCATAAGTTAAAATGGGGGGAAAGGGGGCACTCCCCATACTTTATGGGCCCTCGTACATGGTAAGGTGGCACACCTGCTCATTCAAACCCCCTAGCCTTTGGGGTTAAACCCGTAAAGGGCCCCGGTTTTTAAAACCCACCTGGCACCCCACCCCAAGGTATTAGTTGGGAAGGGGAGGCAATGGGTGCCCGGGGTGGTGGGGGGAACGACAACGGGTGAACGGTTAAAAGAGGGAGAAAGTGGTAGTAATGGGGTAGTAGGAAAGGGGGAACAACGCAGGGAAGGGGGGGGGGGGGGATAGGGAGAAAAAGAACGGGTGTGGGGGGAAAAGCGGGAAAAGAAAAAGGGTTTAAAAACGGAAATTGGAACCAAACCTTTAGACCTGAAAGAGTGAAATTTTAGGGTAAAAATTGGAGGTTTAAAAAAAGAGAAAGGAAAAGTGGGGTTTGAGTGAACGTCAAAAGGGAAAAATAGTGTGGGGTGAACGTTTAAAAGGAACAATAGTGTGGGTTTAACGTTTAAAAGGGAATAGTTGGGGGAGTGAACGTTAAAGGGAAAAATAGTGGGGGAGGAACGTTTAAAAGGAACAAAAGTGTGGATGAACGTTAAAAAGGAAGAAAAGTGTGGTTTGGGGTGACGGTTTAAAGGAAGAAAAGTGTGGATGAACGTTTAAGAGGAAAAAGGTGTTGGGGGTGAACGTTAAGAGGGAAAAAGTGGGGGTGGGAAAGAACGTTAAGAAACCAAAAGGGGAGTGAACGGTTTAAAAGGGGAAAAAATTGGTGGAGTGAACGGAAGAAAGGGAAAAAAGTGTGGGGTGAACTTTAAAAGGAAAAAATTGTGGAGGTGAACGTTAAGAGACAAAGCCTCAGAGTGTGAGTTAACAGCACCAGATAACCCTTTAAAACAAAAAAAAAGGTCACATTAACCCTAGCAGTAGGGGGCTGTAAACATTCCCAGGGTTTTCAATTTTAACAGGGAAAGGGCATGGAGCACAGCACAAGCCCCCCCCCCCTAACACAAGAGTAGTTCACTTTAAAGGGAGCACCCGTGTAGGTAATATAGCAGGCCCGGTCCCGCAAAAAACAGCGTAAAAAATTTTCTGTATCACAAGGGTTTTTAAAATTTTAAACGAAAGGTTCATTTCCCCTCTATTTAAACTTTAGGGAAACCTTAATTTAGAGCAAAGGTTCCTGAGCTTATAGAGTGAAATGAACCTTTCGCATATAATTTAAAACAATAGTGATACAGCATGATTACGCTGTTATATTAGCATGATCTGGCTGCTATATTACCATACACTGGCTGCTACCTTAAAGTGAACTGACTCTTGTGTTAGTGTGACTTGACTGCTGTGCTACCATGACCTTCCTGTTATATTAGCATAACCTGGGAATGTTTACATGACCTACTGCTATGTTAATGTGACCTTTCTGTTGTGTTAACGTTATCTGGCTGCTGTTAACTCACACTCTGCAGGCGTGTCTCTTAACGTTCACCTCCACACTATTCTTCCTCTTAACGTTCACTCCACACACTATTCTTCCTCTTAACGTTCACTCCACACACTATTCTTCCTCTTAACGTTCACTCCACACTATTGTTCCTCTTAACGTTCATTCCACACACTATTCTTCCTCTTAACGTTCACTCCACACACTATTCTTCCTCTTAACGTTCACTCCACACTATTCTTCCTCTTAACGTTCACTCCACACACTATTCTTCCTCTTAACGTTCACTCCACACTATTGTTCCTCTTAACGTTCACTCCACACTATTCTTCCTCTTAACGTTCACTCCACACACTATTCTTCCTCTTAACGTTCACTCCACACTATTGTTCCTCTTAACGTTCACTCCACACTATTCTTCCTCTTGACGTTCACTCTACGCACTATTCCTCTCTACATTCACCTCCACACTGTTTTACCACTGAACATTCACTCTTTCAGGTCTGAGTGTTCTGTCAAGTCTCCGTTCTTACCCATTTACTGTCCGCTCTTCCCCCACACCCGTTCATTCTCCCTATCCCCCGTCGACCTTCCCCATGCGTTGTTCACCCTCCTACTACCCCACTACTATCCACTTTCTCCCTCTATACCGTTCACCCGTTGTCGTTCACCCCACCATCCCGTGGCACCCATTGCCTCTCCTTCCAACTAATACCTTGGGGCTAGGGTGCCAGGTGGGTCTAATACCTGGCCCACTACAGGTAAGCCAAGGCTAGATGGTGAATGAGCAGGTGTGCCAACTTACCATGTACGATGCCCACTCAGTATAGGAGTGCCCACCTTTGCCCCAGTTACTACTGCATTTTTTGTTTACCTCACGACAACAACAAAAGCTATTAAATCATATGCATCAGCAAAGGACTCATTGAACTGAACCTCGTAGTGTCATGTGGACAGCGATTATCTGTTTTTTTTTTTTTTTACTTTTTTTTTGTATATTTCTTGGTAAGCTGTGTGAGGTTGGCTGCCCTGGGGAGTCGACGGACCGCCTACCGTCGCTGGTAAACGTTGTGTAGAGGGCAGTAGTGCACTTGTGGTCGCAGAGAGAGACACACACACACGTCATCTTCCATCTCATCTGTGGTGTATCGCATCCCATCCACCTCTCATCTGGGAGACGATGATTCCTCAACCAAGGTTAGTTTTCCTTTGTTATTTGGTAATATATGTGTCTGCTCCTCCTGGGTATCAGTTCTGCTGTTGTGGCTCGATTTAATGGTATGTTAGTCACTCTGTGCTTCTGGTATTGTGAATATGAAGGCACAATACCGTGACTGGAACAATACACAAATTACCCGCTCGTAGGAGAATGAAAAGGAAAATCGTGACTTTTCGGTGACTTGGACCATTATTAACTAGTCACCCACAAGTTCATGGTTCAGGTCGGTCCGAAACGTCGTCATAAGTTTCTTTTTCTTTCTCCTCTGTGCGGGTTATTTCTATATATTTCTAGTATTAGTAGGAAAGTCTAGAAAGTTGTGAAGGACGTGCCTAGTATAGGACCGTAGGCTTATTTATGTAAGGTAACTTAGTCATGGTATGAGATATAGGTAACGTTAGGTTGGGTTAGGTTGGGTTGGGTTGGGTTGGGTTGGGTTGGGTTAGGTTAGGTAAAGTTCGTCAGGAAACAAGACAAGTATTTCCTGACGCGGGTCTTAGATGATTACCCACCATTGCAGCTTTTGAACATCTGACCGAGGCCTTCCGCTGGCTTACCGGTCCAACCCCTTTAAAAACTGTACTCACAGTTATCACCATTTTGATATGGTATGAAATACAAAAACCATAACGAACACAAATGCATTTTTACACAAATAACCAGCACATAGTAGAGAGGAGCTTACGACAACATTTCGGTCCGACTTGAACCATTTACAAAGTCACACCGAAACGTCGTCATAAGCTCCTCTCTCCTTGAGAGTTGTGTATTGTTCCAGTCACGGTATTCTGCCTTTTGGTTCTGTACAAATGTATTTTACATGAAGCCTTACTGGCCACGTTTCGCCCATGCAGTGAGTTTTATCAAGTCGCAAACATCTGTGTCGGATTTATTAAGTAACTAACATCCGTGTGGTCTTAAAAAATTCCTGTGTTAGCCTCAAGTGTCACTGTTGTAGAGTGTAAGTAGCCAAGCTCACTTATCTTTCCTTCTGTATCACAACACGAAACTAAATTATATAGTTAGATCAGTAAACTAAAAGATAGATTGACAGACAGATAGTAACATAGAAACAGATTTACGCGCATTAAACTCACGGATGGTTCTGCAAACTGCAGTTGTTTCCATTACTGTGTTTCAGTTTTAGTTGATCAATTTCCATTGATTACATTAAGAACGGTGTGTTATATGCATGCAAATGACACGCATTCTTGACAAGAGATTATAGTTTAAAAATAACTTCACTTAGCATGATTTGTTTTCCTAATCAGGTAACTTATAAAGAAACACACACACACGCACATACACTCATTTATATATATATATATATATATATATATATATATATATATATATATATATATATATATATATATATATAATGTGTGTGTGTGTTACGGATTAGAATGTTTATGTGTCCAGGTTAGATGTTGTCTCAATGGCCCTAGAGCTTATGCACCATCTCATGACAAAAATTTAATATAGGTAAAAATCGAGAAAATCACATCTTGCTAAGTTGACTACTAGTGTATCTTAAATGACACGTCTCTCTCTCTCTGTCTCAACTCTTTCACATCTGCCGTGGAGAGCTGAATAGTCCTTCAAAATTTTGCCCTTCTCCTGAATACAATAATAATAATAATAATAATAATAATAATAATAATAATAATAATAATAATAATAGCAAGAGCAGCAAATAATCAATATGTTTAAATACTAAAAGTCAGTCTTATTCATTTATGCAGCTTGGCTAATAGGGAATATTACTGCTTTAATGTTAAGTTCCTTTCTGCTGTTGCTGGCCTTGACACGACGGTACAACCCATTCTAGTTTCTCATAGCAGTATATAGAAGACGGTGTGTGATGTCCAGCTGCTCCAAGGTTGTATAATGTATATACACCGAGATGTATATGTCTCTCATTATATTTATGCTGAGAGTTTTAACCTAATCCTTATATTAGGTATTAAAGTATTTCTTCACGGATCCCTTAAACAACTCCGAGACAGTTGTTGAGAAAGGTACTTAAGTACAGTTTAGGATATTTCTTCTAGGAGACGCTTTGCCACGAGTGGCTTTCCGGGTTCTGAGCGGGACTGAAGAGGCAATTCCCGACACGTGTCATGTTCCACAATTTGCATTACCTTTTTAAACGATAACGAAACGATTTAAAAATCAAACTGTTGAAATTCAGCCATACTCTTTTTAAAGAAAGATGAAGATACCTGCTTAAATAACAGCGATGCTGTTGTTTATACAGAGGCGAAACCTGTTGTCTCAGTTAAGAAAATAAAGGCGAAGTTGACTTTTCCAGAACACCTGTCGTAATTTCACTGTCAACGGGACTGTGAATGAGGACCGCAGATAAGCAAGCATCTACCTGAAAGTCAATAGAGGCACCCAGTGTGATGGATAGCCTCCCTAACCGTCTATTACCCACGTCAGAGACCGCTCTCAGTACTCATATTACCGGCAAAATACAGAGCTACATTACTAGTAAACTGCAGTGCTCTATTCTCGTTAAAATACACTACTTACATACAGCATTCCTGAGTCGAAAGTTACCCCTCATTCTTTTCTGGCTAGTAATGAAGAGGGGGGAAATACACGTTGCAAAATGTGCCCCGGATGTGTCAACACTTGGCTGCCCAAATAACAGGCACATAGGAATGCTTACGTTTCGGTCCGACTTAGACCTTTTACAAAGTCACAAGCTGCGCTCTCTGTAGAGCCTGACCAAATCAATGACTTGACGAAGCTCTTCATTGAGCGAAACGGTGTCACGCTGAAAGCCTGCGCTGTGTTTTTGATGTACAATAAATGGTATGTGAATACCTAAGTACAATTATAAATGACGACATTTCGCTCATTGCGTGTGCAAAGTATATTCAGTGGCGAGGAACTGAAAAAGAAAGACGTGTAAAAATCAGAGAATGTTTAAGTCTTCCTTTTTATTGATAAAAATCCCCAGTGGGCGAAACGTTTCCTAATAAAACGTGTTAAATGCTTCATCCGTGTCTTTGTTTCCACAAATTTTCGGTCGAGAATGCTTGTACACTGAGCGAAACATTGTCAATTACAGTGTTTCCATACTGCTTTAAATTGTTTTATTCATAATAATAATTATACAAATAATAATAGCAATAATAATAATAATAATAATAATAATGATAATAATAATAATAACAATGAAAATTGAATATTTATAAAATAATAATAATGATAATATAATAATAATTATAAAGTAATAATAATAATGATACTACCAATAATAATAATAATAAATATAATAAATACAATATAATAATAATATAATATAATAATATAATAATAATATAATAATAATACAATAATAATAATAATGTAATATAATAATAATATAATAATAATAATAATAATAATAATAATAATAATAATAATTGATTACTATATGACACATAGTTTTAAACAAAAAATTATGAATATACGTGGAGAATCTCCGGTCATGCAGAGTACAGGGTATACTCTACATACCTCATTTAGGTATTAAATCCCTATTTTAGGGGATTAAATTATTAGTGACTGGTAGTGAACACATTACATGCAGCCTTAAAGACCTTCGTGCACTCCATAGGCTTTAAACTCCATTCACTAACTTCAGGGACGGATCTGCTACGAAACCAATGAAGCTTAAGCTTCAGGGTCCCTAATCAGGGAGGGGCCCTGAAGCGACTTTAATCCACATTGCTTAAAATTTTTGGGTCTCCTGTATGAGGTTTTTTTAATAATAATATTAATAAAATTATTTCCCAGTAAAAGTGGGCCTTAGACAAGGATGTGTGATGTCACCGTGGTTGTTTAATATATTTATAGATGGGGTTGTAAGAGAAGTAAATGCGAGGGTCTTGGCAAGAGGCGTGGAGTTAAAAGATAAAGAATCACACAAAGTGGGAGTTGTCACAGTTGTTCTTTGCTGATGACACTGTGCTCTTGGGAGATTCTGAAGAGAAGTTGCAGAGATTGGTGGATGAATTTGGTAGGGCGTGCAAAAGAAGAAAATTAAAAGTGAATAAAGGAAAGAGTAAGGTTATGAGGATAACAAAAAGATTAGGTGATGAAAGATTGGATATCAGATTGGAGGTAGAGAGTATGGAGGAGATGAATGTATTCAGATATTTGGGAGTGGACGTGTCAGCGGATGGGTCTATGAAAGATGAGGTGAATCATAGAATTGATGAGGGGAAAAGGGTGAGTGGTGCACTTAGGAGTCTGTGGAGACAAAGAACTTTGTCCTTGGAGGCAAAGAGGGGAATGTATGAGAGTATAGTTTTACCAACGCTCTTATATGGGTGTGAAGCATGGGTGATGAATGTTGCAGCGAGGAGAAGGCTGGAGGCAGTGGAGATGTCAAGTCTGAGAGCAATGTGTGGTGTGAATATAATGCAGAGAATTCGTAGTTTGGAAGTTAGGAGGAGGTGCGGGATTACCAAAACTGTTGTCCAGAGGGCTTAGGAAGGGTTGTTGAGGTGGTTCGGACATGTAGAGAGAATGGAGCGAAACAGAGTGACTTCAAGAGTGTATCAGTCTGTAGTGGAAAGAAGGCGGGGTAGGGGTCGGCCTAGGAAAGGTTGGAGGGAGGGGGTAAAGGAGATTTTGTGTGCGAGGGGCTTGGACTTCCAGCAGGCATGCGTGAGCGTGTTTTGATAGGAGTGAATGGAGAGAAATGGTTTTTAATACTTGACGTGCTGTTGGAGTGTGAGCAAAGTAGCATTTATGAAGGGGTTCAGGGAAACCGGCAGGCCGGACTTAAGTCCTGGAGATGGGAAGTACAGTGCCTGCACTCTGAAGGAGGGGTGTTAATGTTGCATTTTTAAAAACTGTAGTGTAAAGCACCCTTCTGGCAAGACAGTGATGGAGTGAATGATGGTGAAAGTTTTTCTTTTTCGGGCCACCCTGCCTTGGTGGGAATCGGCCAGTGTGATAATAAAAAAATATAATA